AAGGCACAAGAAGTTTGCCTGGCCGTCTGCTCTGGCCCCTGCAGGCAAGCAGCATAGCGGGAACACACACCTTTTTGGAGAAGATGTTCTGAAGGGAGAAGCAGAGCGTGGCTGCCAGGGCACTGACCAGCCCCCACACGTCGAAAGACAGCTCTGTGACAGTGGCCAGCAGGACTCCACTGATGATAGGGACCAGTGACAGGTACACCTGCAGAGGGGCAGAGGAGCTCAAGTGGGCTAGGGCTACTCACCACTCAGAACTACAGGAAACCTTAGGAGGGTCTATCCCTCACTTGGGGGACCCCATCTTCATGCCTAGCATCCTGGCACCCAGGAAACTAAGGCAGGAAGATCACCAAGAGTCTGGGGCTGGTGAGATGGCTGAAGAGAAAGGCCCTTGCTGCCACGCCTGACACCTGAGCTTGATGCCCAGAACCCACACGGTGGAAGCAGAACCGACTTGCCCAAAAGCTATCATCTGACCTCCACACAGACAGGCAAATACATAAATAAATGGGGAAAAAAGGAGGCTAGCTTGGGCTACTTTCAAATCCTGTTTCTCAGAACAAACAAAACCCAGCAAAGTAGAAAGCCAGGTGGATTTCCAGTCAGAGATTTTGTATCAAAAACTGAATCGGGGCCCAGTTAGTGGGCTTAGTACATAAAGGCCCCCAAATCTGAGTCTGATCTCCAGAACTCCTTGTGGGTAAAGAACCAACTCCTGCAAGCTGTCCCCTAATCTCCATGTGGACTCACGTCTCCACAAAATGTGTAAAAGCAAAGCAAGACAGGCCAGGCTTTTAGCAGCAGGGAGTTCTGTCCTCAAGGCAAGTGACCACTGAGACTGAACGCCTGCCCCTGCACTCCTGGCCACGATCCACTCGCCCTGTCAGCATCCTGCATCTTCCCTTGAGAACAGGGATTCAGAGGCCTGAGTTACCTGCCTCGCAGGGCAGGTCTCTGCCCAAGAGGGCCAGTCTCCAGGACCTGCACTTGTGAGGTTACCGGCATCTTGCTGATTCAAGTACAATGTCCCCAGTGACAAGGAAAACTGATAAACACAAGGTGTGTTATCAGGTGACACACCTGGCTGTCTCACCAGCAACTCACTCCAGGAGGCCAGCCCCACTGGACATCACCGTGAATGGGGACTGCAGAGTACAGACAGGGCTAGCCAAGATGAACATGGGCCCGAGGACAAAACTCAGCCAGAGGTGGCCCAGTTTTTACACAGTGATTCAGGGGGAAGCCACTCTGAGCTAAACCAATTATAGGACATATCTAGAAAATGAGCATTTGTAGAACAGGGTGAGATGGCTTCCAGCTGGGACACTGACATCTCCCAGGCAGCCCTGAGCCCTGTGTGCCCTGTGTGGCCCACATCCAGATCATCACAACCTTGGTTTAAACAAGCGGCAAACCCCTGGCCTGTGAGTTCTCAGCAAGGGCTCCATGCTGAGCTACAACCTTTTTCTTTCTCTCTCTCTTTTTGTTTTGTTGGAGAAAGGGTCTCTGCAGAGTCCTGGAACTCATTATGTAGACCAGGCCGGCTTCAAACTCATAGAGATCCACCTGCCTCTGCCTTCCTAGTTCTGGTATTAAAGGCGTGCACCACCATGACCAGCTCCGAGACTTTTTGAGATGAAGTAGAGCTCTGTATCCTAGGCTATCCTGGACTTCTCCATCCTCCTGCCTCAGCATCCTGAGTACTGGCATGACACACCCATCATACCATGTTAGGCTCCTCAAAGTTTTAATTACTAAGAACTGGTTGGATTCTGCCACCATCAAACTCCTCTGGCCTGGCATCTCACATCAGATCCAGCTGTCCAGCACGGACCATTCCTTCTGGTGAGGGAAAACGAGGACATGATAGTTCAACAGGTAAGGGCCCTTTTGGTCAAGCCTGGTAACTTGTATCTGATCTCAGGCTTCCACACCATGAAAAGATGAGATGGACTCCTCCTGTCTTCTGAGCTTCACATACATGCTGAGGCACAGCACACACACACAGATAAATGTTTAAATAGGAGAAGGAAAACCTGTCTCAACTTAGTTTGTTCCTTGGTGACTTGCCAAAACGGGACCCAACAGGCATCATCAATCAACAAACCAGGGGAGGGAATCAAAACAGGAAGAATGGACCCCATAGGGATGTGGCGCTCGGGGACAATAAGCAAGAGATTATCCGAGGACATCTCCCCTTCCCACACACCTGCTGTCTGAAATGAGTGTGGGACACTGGGGAAGGCCCGGGGGGGGGGGGGGTGGCTGACACCTTGACTTCCTTATTTGACAGGAAGCTCGAGGACTGCCACGGTCCAACCACGTCATCAACCCAGCCAGTTACTGGGAATCCCGCCCTGCCCAGGGCTTCAGCCGGGGTTACCTTGGTGCTCTGTTTTTCCTTCATGATGATCCGAGACAGGAGGACTACCCAGATGGGCATGGTGGCCTTGACTGCGAAAAGAGGAATGGAACTCAGCGGGCAGTCCCGGCAACCTGTACACCCGATGCTGACCTTCTCTCTCTGTAAGGCTTTCTCCCGACCCCAATAGCTGGAGTTAGTTCTGCTCCGCGCGCGGTTAACTCCTCAGACCTTTTCCAACCTGAGACTCGGCCTGGCCTTGGCGGCGTCTCAGTTTGACGGCCCGCGATCTCGTACCCATACTTCGAAGCCCCAGGCAGTGCGCCCCGGCCCGCGTCCGCACCTACCGGTGTGCGCGTAGGACACCGGCACCTTCCAGATGCTGATGTGCGCCGACACCGATGCGAAGTACTTGCCGAAGGCGAGTGGCAGCACGTAACGCGGGTAGAAGCGCGGCGGCAGCAGCGGGCCGGACGTCGGGTGCGGGCCGGGGCCGGGGCCCG